AGATACCTACATGAATCACGCTAAGAAATTTTGATACATTTCAATCATGATCATCATAACTGTTTCTGAATTCTATAACGTGAGCAATATAAACGTGAATCGGGAGAAGTTCAGATTGAAACGAGCAACAAGTGCAACCGAGTACAGTCGAGATATCTAGATGTCAATCATGCAAAATGAGGTAAAACGTGAAAAATGTTTGCGGCAATGTAGAGAGATTAAGCGAGAATTAAAAATTGCACAGAAGCAAAATGAAGAAAAAGAAGATAAGCTTGTGTATGTGCGTCTATCACTTCCATTTATTTAAGTTAACGGGGATATGCCGAAATCTAATAAATCTCTCACACATGTGCATTTCAAATCTCTCAGAACAAATCTCTTTTCCCATTTTAATGATGCTTTAAATAATCGAATGGCGAAACGTGTGCCATATTTTATTTTTTATTTTGATTATATATTTTCTAATCAATTGAAATATTCCAACAATTTTCTTTTTCCAAAGAAACGGAAATTCTTATGAAATTTCTTAGATTATTAGGTTTTATTACTATGCAAATTTAAACCACACCATCACTAGAATGAGATTTTTCTATCTTTCTCTTTAAATCGCTCGAAAGAAGTTTCAGCGATAGTCCCACGATTTTCGAATAAATCCGCTAGCTGACGAAGGAACTCTCGCAGAAATATCCCATTTCGATGGACTGCTCCGGAAGCAATTCGCCCGAATCTGCATTGAATTGCTCCTCGTCTATAGTATTGTTGAAGACAGAGCGAGAAATTCAGTGCAGTGGACAAACGAAAGAATTGATATTCTTTCATTGTGCGCGCGCGAGTCTTGAATAATACGTTCATTGAATTTTTTTGCTCATTCCAACGCGCATGAAGCGAATATAACTGGTAGTTAAAGTAAATATTAATTGGATCATAGAAAAGAAGTCAGAGCGCGCACATCGAAGCGGCCATTATGGCGCGAAAAAATTCATTCTTTTGTGTCAGAGACTGTAGATGCATACGATGGATCATTATATATCTGGCGCAACAAAAGGAAATCATTATCGCCATAACGACTAGCGCGTTCTTAAATTTATAGACAAAGTTAGACGATATTCATTGAAATATCCGAAGCGAATTATATTTCTCCATATATGGGATTTCTGAAATAGCAAATTAGTTTTTATTTGTTAATTTGTGGAATCAGTTTTTCCTTGATAAAAGTATTGAAATAATGATTTGAAAAATATCTCGTTATTTAAAGTAGCTTTAAAATATTGACAAATATTGCTACATTAATATAGTTTTCAAGATTTTTTGCTTTAATTTTTATTTCGGTATTCTAGAGATTTTTTGGTAATAAATAAATTATACATTATAAAATATTAAATACAATATAGTTATCCCCATGTATAGTAACATTAGTGAATTGACCACGCAATAAAGTTGCATGAAGATGATATGAATGAAAGGCATAGATATATTTTCATTGTCAGTCGGATTTTATTAAAGGTTCATAATAAACGCCACAAACGACCGAAAATGCCAGTTCAACTTCGCGGCGAGCGAACCTCCGCTCGTTCTTTTAAGTGTTATAACTCGCGCTGGTTGATTAAAATGGCAATATTTCTTCACGGTAGCGTTACAAACGCCTCGTTAAAAAGCAGACCGCCACCGAAAGTTTTGCGAGCACATAAACGGTGGTCCCCTTTGACATCGCGCGTTCAACCACGAAATAAAGCACTAAACAACAACGTCGCGGAATTATTGACCGTGCCGAGTGGCCGATCATCGGCCGCGGGTGCGCAGTTAACGCGGCCAATAATTATCCGCCCGGTATTGCACGTAAGACGGCCGTCTATTGTACGGCGGCTGCCTCCACTGTTTTCAATACGATTGTCCTCCGGGCCGCCTTATTGTTGAAAGTTTCCATTGTCATTATTATTTCGTCGCATTATGCGCCGAGATTTATGGGCTCGTGTAATTTCGTTCGAGCCGCCTTGATCCTCGGATTACTAGGAACGTGAATCTCCCTCTCGGACTCTTTGATGTACGACGCAATTTCGCGTCGTACATCCCGATGGAAATACGAGATACAGAGGTCAAAACTATATGGATATTACCGCAGATTTTTCAGGTTTTTCTTTTTCTTAGTTTTTTCGTTGGAACGACGAAAAAAAAAACTTATGGGTATATAAATATGTGTCCGCAAAAATCTTGTCGAGGCAAAAGACTTCTTTTTCTTTTTTGACCTTTTCAGTAGAAAAACCAGCATGTAGTCAGACGTGTAGCAGCAGATGGAAATTCCAAGAAGGATACTCGTTACAGAATTATTAATGAATGATAATATTAATAATGATTAAGAGTAATGAATAAATAATTAAAATAAATAAATAAATATAATAATGATCGTAATAATTAAAATGATTAGATTATGATATCCAGCAGAACACATCAATATTCTAATTTGACTCGAAATTGAGGAGAAAAAGCTTGGTTTCGGTTTGACTTAAATCTATATTTTATCCGTACATCATTATTAATGTCATAAAGCAGAAACTCTCGAAATTATGAAGTCGCTATCTTCATCAGTCGTGCGTCTCGTCGCCCTCGTTCCCGCACACTTTTTCCCCTTTGCCTGCGCTCCCGTTTTCCGACTTTTCTCGTTCTTTCGCAACTGGCATTCTGCCTGGCAGCGAAGTAGAGCCACCCGACCGACGTGGAAATGGTTCAAGTGGATCTCGGCGCTACATCCCCTCTCGTCTGCGTCTCTCTACGACCCCACGAACCACAACCCCGATGACGGCACACCACCACTACCACCACCACCACCACCACCGCCGGTCGCTACCCGTTCGCCTCTACCTTTCAAGAGTCGAAAATGCCCGGTGCTCGCTCGCTCGGCTCTCGAAACGGCGCGGGCGGCGAGAGTGGAAACCCAAGAGGGCTTTTCACCGCGCTGAAAAACTAAAGGCGTGCTGCGTTAATAACGAGGCGGAAAGTATTGGTACGAGTGCGCCGGGTCCTTTTCCGTGTTTGCTCACCGTAACATAATACTTTCCCTTAGTTGGCAAATCTACAGAATGTCTCGCCTCTACCGGATCGATCCGGATTTAATGGCAGATTTTTTGACGTACCTGAAGTCGTACCTTTTTCCACAGCGAGAAAATTGAAAGAGCTTATTACTTCGCGTAATAATATATTTTTTTTAATTTTAGAGGTAGAGTATTTTTTACGATTAATGCTTGAATTTAAGTTCTGTGAAAGTTTACGTGAAAGCACTTGAAGAATAATATAATATTCTATTATTTCTTTACATACAGCGATGAAATGCTTTTTTTCTAATTGCACGATTGCATATATTTTTGCCGAAAACTGGCGCGCCAAAAGGTGGCAAATTATATTTGCCCTGCGAGATTTTATTCCGACGCGTCGACCTCAGCCGAAATCTTTCAAAATATCCAGCAGCCGTCGACGACGGGCCCAACGAATTCCTTCTCGCGCAAACGCGAATTTGCAATTCTCGTAGACGATACGGCGCGGCGGAGAGATCGCCGGAGGGTCGCTTCAATTTCGCGAAGTTGGCTGGCTCTTCGCGTAAGATTTGCATCGCAACTCTCGGGGCTGCCAGCGTCGCTTTCCTGACCCTCGTTCCTAATTTTCGAATGCTATTCGGATGTCCCGATTCCGACCGTGCTGATGAAGAGACATATTCGCGTAATTTAAGCTACCTCATGTTAATGATCCGCGTGTTATTTGCAAACACAATCGTCATCAATTATTAGCAATCGCTTATTGAATTACTTGATACAAATAGATAGGTTTGATCTATTTTATTAAATTGAAAATTGAAAGAAAAGGGGCCAATAATCGAGCAACGGTAGACTATTTCATTAATTTTTTCGTTAATTTGTCTCGCAGTCTGGCGTAATCACAAGAATGTTTTAAAAATGAGATATTAGCCGATGATTACAGCTAAAACGTAACGTTAGTCGTCATTTGCTGTTTTTGCCATTATGAACACTGAAATTACCTAGTTGCAATGTTTGGTTTTGATTTCCAGGGTATCGATGGAACGCGCATCCATTATTTATTGCATTTCACATTAATTATCTGTACCAATTACACATTGCAAATACCTTTGATATACGAAGCGGAAAATTACTAAAGCGTAAGCTTTTCACGCAAAACCAATATCATTGGTTGATGTCAACATACCAACGAATGAAGATAACAATTTGTTGTCGGTACAGCATCGCAATGGAGTCGTCAGTTGTTGTTTAATTGCATAATTATTTAATTGCTACTTCAACTAGTATTACACTTCATAAATTGTTTCGAATTATCAGAGTGCTCTATTCGAGTGACGCGATCTCAGGACTGTTATCAAGTTACTGCAATTATTAAGCCGAATAGCATGACGCGGACTGGAAATAGCGAGTGAAAATTCGCGCAATATTTTTTCTCTTACCATAAATCATATAAGATATAATATTATTTAATATTGACGAAAAGAAAAATTTATTGCGTTGGATTTATTATTAAGATAACTTTAATCCTAGGCTATCTGCCTTTCTCTTGATTGTACGATGTAAGATCTCAGGTAGAACAGCAAGTCACAATAAAATCAATAAAATTAAGTCAAATTGACGATTTCTTTATTTTACCATCATTTTACTATCATTGTAATGTCTTTTGACTTTATTGTGACTTACTGTTATACCTGGGATTCTATCGGCAAACTATTTTCGTATGTTTGGACGGCTCAAGTATATCAAGCATATGTGTGTTAGGTATTATATACGGTAAGGAATAATCGCCAAAATTGCGACGACGCCACCGCGACGTCCCATTTTAATATTTCACCGGGTGGCAAGTTGCGTCAACGTTAACTCTTGTATTGTGTGTGCCTCAAGGAGCGGAAGATTTATAAGGTCAAGTGGCACGACACGATACCGCCAGTAACCTTTACGAGCGTCATTAATATTTCGTCATCCTCTCTGTTTCAGGTAAGCCGTTCTCCGTTCCCCATTCGCGGGGCAGAAAGATGGCCCTTGGGATCACGCAGATCGACGCAGCTGGCTACGTCCCCTAGACGCTCGTTCGTCCACCGTATATTCCCTTTTCGAATTTCCGAAAGATTCGCGTGAGTTAATAAATAAATAATCTATATAATTGCGTTGTAACTGCGTAGAGATAATTTTGTAATTATTCATTGGACTACACCTGCCATTTCGAGAGAGAAATGATAGCCTCTCTTAATTTAATTCTATTCTCATTTAACTTTCTTAATCAACATCCGCCACTTTTATTTAATATTGCATAATAATTATTAGTGGAAGGAATTAGAGTTTGCAATCAACGCTAGATTGCAATACATTTATCAGAGAGACATGCCGAGAATTTTATTGCGACGATTAAAGATTATCTTCATGCTCGTATCGGAAAAAAGCACTTTCGGAGTTACGCAGTTTCTCCATATATTTGCCAGCTGGGCGCTTTAGAGTCGTTTCTTTTTTTCTAATCAAACGAATTATCCGTAAGAGAAAGCGTTTGCGGGAAATAGTTAACAATGGATTGGGGCGTGGACGACGTAATAAATAAAGCGTGGAAAGAGACACGGTGCTGACAATGAGACGGTCGCGGGCATAAACAGCGTGAGCATAAACAACGTGAGCATAAGCATCGAGGCAGCGGCGTGGAGCGGGAGACGCGTCGAGATAGCGAAGAGTCGGGCTTGTGTAAGAGGACGGAAGAGAAATGGTAGGTGCGGCGACAAAAACGGCGATTAGTGGGGATGCTGACAGTGCTCAGGGCGAGTAATGCTGACCACACACCGCAGCGTACACCTGCAATCCAACCCTTCCTCCGGCACTTGGCCGGTTTCGACCGGTCAACCCCCGCCCCCCTCCTCCGGCTCACGGAATCAGAGATATCCGTACCGCCGCGCCGATAAAATAATGATCTTCGACAAGCGCCAGTGAAATAAAGCAATCGTAGCCCCTTTTTGTCCCGGGGCCTTTCCGCCGCGCCGCGCGCCGCGACGATTCGATCTCCCAATCTCATCAGCGAAATTACAGAACTTCAACGTTGAATTGATGGGAAATAATCGATCGACCGTAGCGAGGAAGATTAATCGCCAACTTAAAATGGTAGGGATCTCGTTTCTTATTCTCACACATCTGCGTGAGATAGCACTCGACGGACATTTGTTATGATTCTGGAAAAAAAGTTTTATATCGCTATTATTTTTTTCATTGTAAGACTGATATTTTAAAAGATGACATTTTAAAAAGTGTCAGTGCATCTTAAATTACATATGGAGGGGTAAAAACCATAGTGGTGCAAGTCAAATTTTTAAAAATATTTTCTAGTGTGCATAGATGCAATCTGTACAATATATGTATAAATTGCATCTATGCACACGAGAAAATATTTTTAAAAATTTGACTGTGTAAGTCAAGACTGTGTAACTATTATGGTTTTTACCCCTCCATATTTAGTTAACCGTCTTCTACTTATGGTAAAGTGACGTCTTGATCAGTCTTTATAGAATTTCTTTCGGGGTCGTCAATTCAATTACACGTTTTAACGTAACAAGAGAAGGATTAAATTCGAAGGTATATCATTTTCGTGCGCGGCGAGATATTAATTGCATCAACTCGAAGTTCGAACGCCGGCGCTGTCTGGTTATTAAGTTTTCCCGCTCGAATGCCGCCGCGAGGACTTAATGAAATAAGGAGCGCGCGAATAAAATAACTCGACGGAGAGCTGGGTAGGTTACAAGGAGTCGGGCGGACGGGATAAGAAACTTTCGAAACGGATGAATAACTCTGTGGATGGTCTTAATATTAATTACTACGTTTTCTTAATTAATCACCACGTAATCTAAAAGAAAAAAAATAAATAAACGACGAAGTGGCTGACTCCGCCGAGTATATCTTCCGTTTTCGGGGTTAGTGAAACGAGTAGCGGGAATAACATGATTTTTGGTCTTTCGCCAACGAATCTCACGGACGCAAAACACGGGCGATCGTTACGTCGTGGGATTTCGGAGATCGCAAGACCGTTTTATTAACTACCTCTGCCGCAGGGCGCCATCCTCGTGATGGTTCCGTTTATCCTTGAGATTTACATGTTGATCTAACTAATTAGATCATCCGCATACAGTGGCTAAGGAACGACGGTTGTTGAGTTTAGCTGGGATCCAATAGAGCCTTGGATATCTTCTTGTTGCTAATTTTTTATTTTGCTTGGCTAACATTTACCTTCGGTAATTAAATGTGTCAGTCACAAAATGTGTTCTCAATTATATTAAAAAGAGTGATCGCGAAATACTGCACGGGTTTTATAACTACTCTTAAATTGTTTTCTTATCGTTTTACTGCAGACTTTTTATATCATTTTAAAGTTGATTAATTAACAAGTTAACAATTCTACAGTTTATTACTAATTTTTTAACTCAGCGTTTATTACTATTTAACACGAAACAATGAAAGTTAAAATAACAGCAATTTGCTAAACGTTTATTAATTTGCACAACATAGTTTAAACAATATAATATTAAACTGCCTAATGGTTGTTTAATGTTAGCATTTAATTGTAAATTTTCAAATTTTCTAAAGTTAAATTATAAACGCATATATTTACTATTTATATCTTTAATATTAGCGTTTCTCTCTCTCTTTCTCTCTCTCTTTCTCTCTCTCTCTCTCACACTTGTTATTTGAAATGACAAGAAATGATTTAATCTAATAATCCTTTTTAAACTTTCCGATTATTTAACTTGGTTTCTGCATATTTTTCCACAAACTCGAATATAATTGAAAATCAATTATAAGTAAACGGACGTTGTGTCAATGTGTCTAAATGCCACGAAGATATAAACGTGCGCGGAGAACGGAACTTAATTGCTAGGCAAACGTAGAAGAGGATACGCGGAAGGCGATGGTTATTGTTTCAGAAAACGATTAAACGCGGAGAACGACAGACGTGGAAGCGGAATCGGAAGAACGACAGCAAACATTGCATATGCAGTAACAATGTTAATTTAATCACACGTTTGTCATTTTTATTATAATTAGAGAACGATCGAAGCTGCGGTTGTACGTCGATTTCGATTCTATTTCGATTTTAATATCAAATCTCGTTTCAATTATATTTAACTTAAGACACGAAAAAGCGCGATAATCATCTAACATTTCCATATGAGAAAAAGGCGAATGAAATGAAACTAATTGTTCAGTAGTATAGCCAACTTCTTCTACTTTTTGTTTCCCGATTGTTAAATTACTATTGTTACATATGTTTCTAAATAATTAATTAAAATTTTTCAAAATTTAAACATTAATAATAAAATATTAGAAATTATGGATTAGACAGCCTCTAGGCGCTCATAGAAAGATATTTACTTCTGATATACGATATTTTCGATATTACATTTATCTAAATGGAAGATGCAATCGCTGCAATTATTACTGGAGTACGAAACGCTGCAAGTCAGCCGTGCTGAATTATAGGTTTCGCTCGCGGATAAACGCGATGGTACGCATACTGTATCGCGTTTAATAATCTCAATTAAAATCTATAATTACTTTCCGATTTGACTGATTCGCCGCGGGCCCGTGCTCATCGAGTTTACCGTCCCATCAGGCATCCGGCGGATCATTATCAACCACAGCTAGCCGGATCTCATCTCGATTCACCGATTTATGAAGCGATAACTTGAAGCTATTCCGATCTCCAGATGAGGTATCTTCGTATTATCGAACGAGGTGGCTTCGCCTCACTTTCGCGAAGACGATTTAATTTCTCTCCATTATGGGAAACTCTCTCTCTTCCGTTTAAACCCGCCGGGGAAAAGAATGTACCGGAGAGAAGAATGAAAACTCCCTCGTTCTTGTCCCGGTGACCTTTGATATAATAAATTGCCCTCATTACGGGACTATTGGTCAAAGCTGTTCTAGTTGGGGAAAAGAGAGTCGAGAGACAGAAGGAAAGGGGAAAGAAAATGAAAGAAAACAATGAGACGAAACAACAAAAAAAAGAGAACATGAAAGACTTGCGATCGTCAGCGAAAAAAAAGTGACGCGTTTCTCAACGAATTAAAGCGAAATGGTCAAAGCCGACCAACTGCGCATGTTTTCTCTCGTAAAGCAAGTACTCTCCGTGGCAAATTGCTCAATTAAGTGACCTAATTATGGAACCGTTTGCTAGAAGACAAACGGTGTCGTTGACACAGGCAGTCACCGAAAGTTAATTTTACCCTTAATTATTGCTGATGATTACTTGTTTTTGAGACGAATTGATCATGAACAAATCTCGATACGAATGGCAACGCCAAGCGATATGATCTGACTTTTTTTTTTACGTTTCAACAGTGGTAGACGCCCTTCAGTATCATCGACTTCGAGCGGAGAGGCGGCTTGATCCGCGGATAGACGGATGCAATTAAAACACGCGAAGTAATTGAAACGTAGAGTCGAAAGTTCTCTTAATAGTCGCTATCAGCACGTAACGGTTGTTTTAATGAGTATCGCCAGGAATATGGTTTCCGCCTCGACCACCCCACGAGCGCATTCTAATTATCTTTTGCCTTCCGCGAACTCTTTCTGCTTTTAACGACATATCCACCCTTCTTTCGGAACCTATCTTTAGCCATCGTTTCGTTTTCCGTAAGCGTGCCGAGACACGCGTTTTGCGTCTTCGTCGCCGCCTGTGGCGCGTCCGGGGTTAAAAAAAACTATGCGCGGGGGGGGGGGGGGGCAATTCCTGGAGGTAACGGTAATTGGCGCGAACTTAATTACCTCGTAGCCTCACTTGTGGCGCTATAGACATTTATATTCCCACTTCTTAAAGAGGTATTTTTATCAGCTATTTGTGAAATAGTTCGACATCATTATACCACGGTTTTCGCACCGCGGGCGGTAATACGGAAACACAATTGCGAATCGCGTTCTCATTCGCGGAGCGATTAAATTGCTTTATTAGACTCGGTGGTAATCTCGATGTTATGCCGCATAGACGTACGGTAATCATCGTGTCGAAACGATCCGGCGAAACAGTTCGAGACTTTAAATCCCGAATAGACTCGGCAATTACGCTATCGGTCTAGACGACGCGGCACGTGACGTCTAATTATCGCGC